CGGCAAAGAATTTTCCACGCCAAAGCGCACATGCCCGACACGGATGCGGAGTGAAAGAATTTTGGTGGGCTCACAAGAAGACCGCTCCTCACCGGGCTCATGCAGAATCCAAATCTCTTTTTTTCCGGGGGGGGGGGGGGCGCACATAGGGTAGCAGGCAGAGCCGCACCTTCAGCGCCTGCAGCGTGTCGTGCGTCTTCATGCTCGTGATGTCGGCGAGCGCGCTGCTGTGGTCGACCAGGAGCTGCTCGTGCTCCGCGAGCTTCGCGAGCATCATGTCGCGCTCGGCGTCGGCCACCGTCTGCTCGTGCGCGCGCGCAACCTCGCGCGCCTCGTAGTCGGCCTGCTGCTTCTTGAGCTCGGCCAGCAGGGCCTTCTGCTCGGCGCCGCGCTTGATGGAATCCTCCAGCTGCGACTTCGTGCTGTCGAGCGCCTCCTTGATCGCGGCGGCCGCGTCCGCCGTGTGCTTTGTGGAGCGGGCAGAGGCTGTCAGCGCCTGCTCAAATGCAATATGGTGAGAGTGGGCACGGTGAGGCGGGCGGGGAGGGGGGGGGGGCACCATGTCACTTCCATTGACCTTCATGGAAAGCCTCTTCCTGCTCATGCCTATCCCCAACGAGATCCCTCCGCTCCTTTATTTTCTTAGCGCCGTCCTCGAGCGCGGCAACTCCCCCGTCTAGGCGCCGGAGCTGCTCCTCTGTGCGCTGCTGCAGCGCGGCGAGCCGCGCCACCGGGACTTTGATGTCGTCGCACGTCACAAAGTCCTTGGCTCCCGCCAGCGCCTCGCTGGCATCGCTGTAGAGCTTGTTCAGCGTCTGGGGAAGGGGGGTGGCGTATGATGGGGGTGCGTGGGTCTGGGAGAGGGCGCGGAGAGGCGGGGGGTCGGCGCTACCGCCGACACAAACTCCTTGAAGGCGCCGCTCTTCGCGCACGTCGCTTTTGTGCGTGCAAGCGTCGCGGCGTAGACGATCTGGGCCTTGAAGGCGTCGCCGTCGGGGCCCTTGAGCTTGTCGAGGCCGCCCGGCACCCCGACCACCTGCATCAGGGAGCACGCGCGGGCAGCGCTGTGTTTGGATTCGCGGGGTGGATGAAGCCGGTGGCGCAATTGAGACGCCTCGTCGATCTTGCGCTTCAGGTCCTCGCTGCAGCCGTTCTCGTCGAGAATGATGTCGTCCTTCCCGAAAACCTCGGCGACCTTGAGGGCGAGCTTCGAGTGCGTGCTCAGCTTGCACGGGTTGATGTAGGCCGCGACACTTCGGTCCGGCCACAGGATGCGGATGCGCGACAGGCCGCTGGCTCGCGACATGAGCGCGCTCGCCGGACCTGCGGCCGCGGGGGCGATAACGGCGAACCGAAAGCCCGAGGGGGCGGGCGCGCGGGCGGGGGCTGGCCGCTGGGAGCCGGCGGCGGAGGCGGCAAAACTCACCGATGCTCGGAGCGGACGCAGCGACAACCAGCCCCGCTTTCAGAAAAGAATGCCCCCCCGCGTGGTGATCGTGGGGCCAGGCCTCTGCGCCACAGGTTCTTTTCGATTTCTTTCCCTCGCGATGTCCAAACCGCCGCGCCGCTCGCGCCGCTCGCACCACCTCGCCGCCGCCTCCACCGCCGCGCCCTCGCCAGACACGCCGCCGCCCACCCGCCTCCTCGACCTCCCCACGGACCTCCTCGCGCGCGTCCTCTCCAGCTTCGAACGCCCCGCCGACATCGCTCGCGTCGCGGCCGTCTCGCTGCTCTTCCACGCCTCGCTCGCTTTGGAGGCCATCCGCTTGTGGGCGCAAGAGCGCGGCTTCGAGCTGCCGGCGCAGCCAGAGGGCGAGGGCTGCGCCGTGCGGTGGCTGTGCTTCGCTGCGCTGCTGTGCGAGTCCAACCCGCCGGCGAGGGCGGCGGCAGGCTCCTCCCACAGCCTCTTCATCGACGGCGAGGGGCGGCTCTCGTCGTGCGGCTCGGCGCCACACGACTACCAAGGGCGACTCGGTCACGGCGAGGGCGTGACGCGGCTCAACACGCCGACCCGCCTCCCGTCGGCGCTGGGCGGCGAGCGCGCCGTGAGCGTGTCTGTTGGCGAGGGTCACAGCCTAGCCCTCACCGCCGACGGAGCTGTGTGGAGCTGGGGCTGGGGAAGCTCAGGCCGGTTGGGCCACGGCGACGAGCAGGACCAGTGGCAACCAGAGAAGATCGAGGCCTTTGCTGGCCAGCGCGTCGTCGCTGTGTCGGCTGGACGCGGCCACAGCCTCGCCCTCACCGCCGACGGAGCTGTCTGGAGCTGGGGCTCGGACTACTCGGGCTCTGTTCCAGGGCTACTCGGGCGCGGCGAGGGCGTGACGCAGCTCAACATGCCGACCCTCCTCCCTTCTTCGACACTGGGTGGCGAGCGCGTCGTGAGCGCGGCGGCAGGAGCTTGCCACAGCCTCACCCTCGCCGCCGACGGCGCCGTTTGGAGCTGGGGCAGGGGAGTCGATGGCAGGCTGGGCCACGGCGACGAGCAGAATCAGCTGCTGCCGAAGAAGATCGAGGCCTTGGCTGACCAGCGCGTCGTCGCTGTGTCGGCTGGGTGGATGCACAGCCTCGCCATCACCGCCAACGGCGCCCTCTGGAGCTGGGGCGGTGGATACTATGGCCAGCTGGGCCTCGGGGACGAGCAGAAGCAACTGCTGCCCACGAAGGTCGAGGCCTTTGCTGGCCAGCGCGTCGTCGCTGCGTCGGCTGGTGCTACGTACAGCCTCGCCCTCACCGCCGACGGCGCCGTCTGGAGCTGGGGCTCTGGAGCTTGGGGCCAGTTGGGCCACGGCGACGAGCAGAACCAGCTGCTGCCCAAGAAGGTCGAGGCCTTTGCTGGCCAGCGCGTCGTCGCTGCGTCGGCTGGAGGCATGTCCAGCCTCGCCCTTACCGCCGACGGAGCCGTCTGGAGCTGGGGCTTTGGTGAGGATGGCAGTCTGGGCCACGGCGAGGACGAGTCGAGCCAGCTGCTGCCCAAGAAGATCGAGGGCTGGGCGTGAAAGGGCGTGCCGTTTTGCGTGCGCGTGCGAGTTTTGTAAACAGACACGAGAGGGACCCAGGTACCAAAACCAACGAGAGGCATGCCGCGCGGATTTGCCACACACGTATCGGCGAAACAGTAGGCCGACATGCCCCGTCTTTGTGAGCGCAAACACCGAACACACGGCGGGGCACAGAGTGCCACTGATCAGTGCAGAGCACGTTGGTCGTTGGGTATAGATGGCTACAAATAAACCTTAACGCGCGGCCACAACCCGCACACACTCTCCGTCCACCGTACCTCCCGGTCACCCGCCCCGCGAGTTTCGCCGCGCGACGTGCATTATGCTCGCGGTGATGGTCCTGCTCAGCTGCACCGTCTGCGACGACTCCGCCGCCGCCGCGCCCGCCTCGCCGTCGGCGTCGGCGCTGGCCAACGCGTTGCCCGCCTCGCTGACGAGCGACAGGTAGCCGTATCGCCCCACCGCGTCGCACCGCTCGTCCGACGCGGCGATGAGCCGCTCGTGCGTGGCGGAGGCGAACTGTATCCTGCGCAGGCAGGGCAAGCGGGGGCGGGGGGCACTCCCCCTGGTCTGATACTGGGGTGTGACTGTCTCCAGTCTCGGAGGGGGGCAAAAAGATAATTATATCTATTTTTTCCAGATGGCTCCTCTCAGATGGAAGCAGGAAGCTTCCATCCCGAGATCGGTGGTTCGACTCCACGACGGTCGTAGGTGATGGGTCATAGGGCCTTGAGGTCTGAAGCTCACCCATTGAGGAAGTGAGGAACTGCTCGACCCACCCTGATCATGCTGAACGAGTTCCTCTTGTAGCTCGATCGGTCACACCGCCACCGCCGCCGACGTCTCCCCGTGAGACGACGGAGAGGGGGGAGGGGGGGACGACACTGCTTCCAGCAGCGTGCACCTCGATCCTGAACCGTGTTTGTTATGACCCCCCCAAAGGAACACACCAGCGAGGGAGGGCGAGACGATCGAGGGGTCGTACCATGCGGAATCGACCCTATCTACTCACCAGTGCTCAAGTGCTCAACAAAAGGCGGTCGCGCGATTTTCACCCGCACCCCTCGAGCCTCGTTGGCCTTTCGCTTTCTCTTTTTATTTATTTATTACACTTTATACACGACGTGTGCCGTGTGAAGACGGCAAAAGCGAAAAGGAAAGCGTCTACCCCCCGCGTCTCTCGGTGTTGTATCCGTCGGGGCACAGGGGTCAGGGCGCCCCGCGGCTCCTCTGGGGACTCTGCGCGTCCGTGTCGTGTGTGTGTGTGTTCTGATTCAAGTGTGGACGTGCTCTCTAAGTCTACAACCACTGTGATCTGTGTCTCTGTCACACAGCTGTTCGCGCCGCGGGCGAGCGAATGAGGATGTCACAGGCACAATTTGAAAAAAGTGATTCATGCTTGTGCCGGTCATCGCTGGCCTGTCAGCTCTCAGCCAGACTGCCCAGACTGCCCAGCCAGCGGCCCAAGTCGCATGGCGAGGCCTCCTCGTCGTCCACGCGGCACAGGGACGGCCGCATGAGCAGCGGGTCCACCGCCGCCTGCCGCCCTTGCGTGACATAGTTGACGAGGAAGCGCTCGTCAGCGGGCGCCGGAAGCGTGCCGTCGCCGCCCGAGTCGGACGCACCCGCACTGGTGAGCTGACGGTAGGCGAGCCTGGCGCCCCGCGTGAGCGCCTCGAGCCGCGCGTACTGCTCAGACGCGCCGTCGTGGTTGAGCACCGCGACCACGGACGTCTTGGCAGAGCGCTTGAGCGCGCGAGAGAGCGCCTTGCGTGTCATGGCAAAGACGAGCAGCACCTCCTTGTCGCGGTCCTCGTGCTGCAGCGTCGATGCCTTGGCGGCTTCGTCGTAGACCCACACCTGCTTCTTGGCGCAGAGGGTGATCAGCTGCGAGACCATGTCGTCGAGGCCCGCCTCCGCCGTGATGCGCTCGATGTTGTGCGCCTACGCTGGTGAACACGCAAACCTCAGTGTCGTAGCACCGTGTGAAGACGAGGGGTACGACTACAGCGCATGCTGCTGAATACGGTCGAATACAGCGGAGCACGTGCCCTCTGGAGCGCCAGTCGGAATACAAGAGTACGTGTATTCAGCTTCTAGGGTTGTGTACCACGATGAGCACCTTGGCCTTGTTCGACTTGAGCGCGCGCGCCACCTCGCGGAGGCCGCACACGAAGCGCTTCTTCTGCGAAGCCTTGAGCGGGTCTCGAAGGTACAGCCGCTCCTGGAAGCGCTGCACCTCGGCCAGCAGCGCGCACGCAGCCTCGTTGACAGCGGGCACCACCAGCTGCTCGCAGTACTCACGCACCAACCTCGGGTTGGCCACCGCCTCGGCGGGGCGCTTCAGCTCGCGCTTCGGCTTGCCCTCGCCACCGCCGCCGCCGCCGCCGCCACGCTCGTCGTCACTGCCCTCGCCACCGCTACCCTCGCCGCCGCCGCCGCCGCCGCCGCCGCCGCCGCCGCCGCCCTCGCCGCCGCCCTCCCTCCACCATGTCGCGTCCCCTCGACGCTTGCGCCGCCCTTGTCTCCGTGAGAGCCAAGCGGAGATGCGGCGGCGCTCGCCACCAGTGCGCCCGCCCCCTCCTCCTCCCTCCGCAGCCGATCTTCCGCGTACTCCTCCAGCTCCGCGTAGGCCGGCAGCACCACGCCCGCCCCACCGCTCCCCCCATCGCCGCCGCCGGGGGCGGCAGCCTCGCTGCGCGCGAGGAGCTCGAGCAAGATGCGCTTCTTCATCTGCGACAGCCGCACCTTTTTGGGGCCTTCCTTCTCCTTGCCGCGCTTCTGCGTCCGCCCCAAGCCTGACGTCAGTCCTTCACCCGGCCGCTGCCGCGGGGCGCTCTTCGCCCGGCCGGATGCGGCAAGCGCCGGCGTCTTGGCCGACTTTGCCGAGCCGGGGCCCTTCAATTTGGCTGCTGTGGCAACGCCGCCGCCAGGCTTGGCGAGGTCCAAAAAGTCGAAGAGCGAGACGTTCTTCTGCGGCTTGGGCTTGGACCCGGGTGGGTTCGCCATTGGCAGGCCGCGCGCGGCGGCGCGCTCAGCGCCCGCCTTCATCGCTGCCACGGTCTCCGGCGAGAGCTTGTGCAATCCTAAACGCAGAGGCGCGGTCTTGGGGCTCGCCAGGGGCGTGTCGCCGCAACGAGCGTACGCGCCGCCGGAAGGGGTGGGCTTGGACTCTACACGCGCCACCGCCGCCTCGCCGCCCTTGCGCGCGGACTTGCTCCCTCGCGCCACTGGCAGAAACTCGCCCTCCCCGCCCCCGCCACTCGCCGTCGCCACGGCTGCCGCCGCCACCGGAGACGCCGGAGACGCGGCCGCCGCCGCACCGGCCGCGCTTCCCGCCGCCGCGCCCGCCACGCTTGCGCCGCCGCGCGTCCAGCAGGAAGGCGGCGTCGGCACCGCTGCTGCGCGCGGCGCACCTGGCAGGCAAACGACCCGGCTTCACGGAGCAGCACAAACGGGCGCGCGGCCGGCGGGCAGCAGACAAGACCAGCGCCAAGCGCGGGAAACGCGCCGCCCGGTGGCGCCGCCGCGCTCGCGGCTGCACCGCCGTCTCTGGCACCGCCGGCCGTGGCACCGGCGCCGCCGGCCGCTCCGCCCGCATTGCGAATGTAAATTTTCCGCCTGCCCCCTGCGTCGTCCGCAGCTCCCAGCCGCGGGAACGACTCGCTCGCGGTGGCGGGCTGGGAAGCGCCGCCCCAGCGAGGCTTGACCAAGGCCGCCCACGACTTCTCCGCCCCCCCAGACTCTTGCCCGCTCACTGCCGCGGCCGCAGGGGCCGGATGCCGGCTCTCCGCCTGTCGTTTCGGCACAAGCGCCGGCGGCGCTGCCACCGCGCCTCCCGATCCGGAGCCTCCTGCCTCCGAAGCGGGCCTGCGCTCGGTCTCCTGCAGGCCGAGGGGCGCCCTGAGCTGAGACGAGGCAGCATTGTTGAGTGTGTGTGAGTGGGTGGTGGTGGTGGTGTGTGTGTGTGTGTGGGGGGGGGGGGGTTCACACCGCCCTCATCCCCGCGGCCGCCTCCGGATCCAGCCGGTGAACTTGTAAACGGCCGGCCTGCGGCGCGGCCGCCGCCGCGTCGCGCGGCCGCCGCGCCAGCTCAGCCCACGAAGGACGCGGCGGCGCGGCGGCTGGCGGAGGGGTCGCCACCGCAGCCGCCGAGCGCGAAGACGACTTCCGGGGGCCGGCCTGCGCGCGTGACGGGGGGGGGGGGGGGGGGTTCAGGGACGAATGCCGGGCGGTGCGATGCAACGTGTCGGGTGCAATTCCAGGTGGCGTTGAAGCGCCTGGGCACTCCTAGCTGGAGCGGTGGGCGCAGCGCCCGCCTCTTGCGCCGCTGCCGCGGCTGCCTGTCCTCGCCGCTCCTTCTTACCGCCCCCCCTGCCGCCGCCGGATGACGCCGCCTCACGTGCGCTGCCCGCCGCGCTACTCTGCGAAGCACCGGCGGCGGGGAGATCCGCGACGGCCGCCTGAGCTTGCACAAATGGCGCCTCAGGGCGGACTAGGGGCTTGGCGCATCGGCTCCACACCAACAGGCTGCATCAGCTCGCGTGCCGTCCCGGCATGCCGCCCCCGCCTTGTCGCGAGCGCGCGAGCGCTTGGTCCGCGCCTTTAGGTTGAAACACTCCGGTCAGTGTACCTGTCGCAGCGGTGCCTGCAGCGCGGCTCGGCTTGGCCTTGGCAGGCTCACGGTAGTAGCCAAGCCCTTGCTCGCCCTGCTTGAAGACCCACCCGGACCTCGCCCCGCAGAATGCGCCGACCGCCTCAAACATCGCCTCGCCAGCCGCTCCGCCCTGCTCCTCTCCCGCCCCCGCCTCGCCGTCCTTTTCCCGTCCCATGCCGCGACCGCCGGCGCCGGCGCCGCCCGACTGAGAGACCGCGAGGTCCCTTTTGTGGAGCGGCAGCCCGCAGAGCGGCTCAGGTAGGGGCACGTAGTCCCAGCCTGTGGCGTCGGCGAAGTCGGGCGGTTCGCCGCCAGCGTACGGCGACGGAGGCACTCCGGGGTAGCCAAAGGCGCATGCCGACGCCGCACTCAGCGCCTGAGCGCCCCAGTATCCAAAGCTGGCCGCCGTGGCGGCGCCTGGCGCGCCAAAGGAGGGAACGAACTCGCAGGCGTTCGCGTTGAGCGAAACAGGCGCCGGCTCGGGCGCGGATTCTGTCTGGCTGTCGCCCATGGCCGGCTCCGCGGACAGAATCCGCGCCCAGCGGTGGCGGCGGAGGCGGCGGTGGCGAATCCAGCGCAAGAGGCTTGCCCGCCAAAAGAAAGCACAGCCCTGCGGGCGGCCTTCTCTCGAGGTCTCGACAGAGCACCTTCGGCCGGGGTACTGATGCGTCAAACCTGCGTCAGCGTGCGCGCGATAGGGCGAACCGGCTCGTCGCGCCGAAGGTCAAATCGCGGCTTCACTTCCATGGAGCCGCGCTGTCGGCGGATACACGCCGGCCAAGAGCGGGAGCGCCAGAGAGAAGACAAAAGGCAACATGTAGCAAAGCTCTCTCTAACGCCGCGGCCAAAAGAGACCGCGGACCTTGAATTTCGGCGGCGCCGAAATTCACACAAGACTGTGAACACACCCACAGGACGCCGAGTACAAGACAATAGGAAGGGAGTGTACTCAGGCAGTCAGGGACGGGTGAGTTCAAGGACATACTAAGAGCACCTAAAGGAGCAAGGCATAGCTGTGAAGTGGTTTCCACTGGACACGCGCCCGCCCCGTAAAAACCCCGTATCCTAACTCGAGTCGTGGGAGGTAGGTACAGCCTCGCGCAATGGACGACGGCATACGACGCTGGGGTGGACAACCTCTGACGCAAACGCCTCTCATGGTGCTGCACATTGGCAAGTGTGGCGGCGGATCAGTGACTGCACGTCTGCGAGCGGACTTCGAGAAGTACAATTGGTCTGTTCCAAATCCTGGCGCTGGGGAAGAGCGCCGCGTGAGGTTTCAAGAGCACACGATCCCAGGCATTTGCCATCCCAGCGCAGCGAACATGTCGGTTTGCCCAGGATATGCTGGCAGATTGTGGTGTTCAGCGGTCACGCCCCTCGGCATGGCTGTCGGCTGTGGTCTCACGCCCAAACTTGACCAGCGCCATGCCTCACAAGGCTGTGCGAGGCAAGGCAGTGCTGGGAAGTGCGACATCGTATTCACGACGCACATGCTCCTCGGAGCCGAGCTGTCCGTCCTCCCTGAGACCACGATTACAAAGGCCGCTCATGACTTCGAACCATCCATGAAAATGACGCCCACCCTCCGCTACGCTTCAGCGACGGCAAAGGCTGAGACGCGTGACCGTAAGCATGTCCACAGCAACGTTTCAAAGACAGCAGACAAACGCGGCGGCCTCGACACGCATGTGTGGCGCGCCTTTGCACAGTCGGGGGTGCCGACATGGGCCAGCTTCTACTCGTCGCTTCCTGTGCTTCGCACAGTGGTGGGGCGAGAGCCCTTCTCCTATCTCGCGTCAGTCCATGATTGGCATTGGCTCAAGACGGACTGCAGGGTGGACATGGAGTGGGCTGAGGTATTCGCACGCCAGTACATGATGGCGCTGTGTGGTATCGATTGTCCGGGCCGACTGGCGGAGGGGTTGGCGACAATCACGCAGCTTGAGCGTCAAGCGGATGACAACTTGAAACAGTCTTTTGCCGTGGTTGGACTTTTGAACAACTTCTCCCAGTTTGAGTCCATGATGAGGAAGAGATTCGCATACACCGCCACTTTTGGCCTGGGCAAGGTTAAAGGGCGAAAGCACGGCTCCAAAGGCAATTCAAACAACTCCAAATGTAAAGCTGCCTTCACGGATGCCAGCGTTCGGGCGCTATGGATCGAACGATCCTCCGCAGTGCAGATGCTCTTGCGACTCCACAGAACTGCTGTTCGAGTCAACGGGGTCCAGGCCAGCGAGTTACAAGTTGCTTAATTGAACTTCAGAAGGCTAGCACTGTAAGCAATGAGGGGAAACGCGATCCCTGTCAACAAGCACGGCGAGGCATACGGTGGCTTGATCGCATGAACCACCACCACCGTGCGAGAGAGCTGCACTTTACCAGGTGTCCGGCCGCGCCGGATAGCGTAGGCTAATGAGTCGGCAGGCCATGCGCCGCACTCGGCAGTCTCGACCCTCCGGCCGCCGGCAGCTGCGTAGGGGGCAGAGCGCTGGTGGCCAGAATGCTAAATTGACACGTTCGCACCCGATTCATCGTAGAATGTGGGTCTGTGTGTGTCGGTGCGTCGCTCTACTCGGGGAAAAGTGGGACGAGCCAGGGAAAAGATGCGTCTGCAGCATGCGCGCCCTCCGGTCGTTGCGCATGTGAGAGTTTTCCACGCAACAGGCCTCAGGCGCATGTGGTTATCTCTTTTAGAAACGCGTGTACGAAGATGGTACGTACAAACCCAACGTCGACGCAACGTAAGTCTCTGCCACCCGCTGGCGAACCCGCCTCCCAGAGTCGACTACAAATGGCACAATGCGCTCGCTCAACCAAGAACCATCGAGTCCCCAAGATACGAATCTGCGAGGCGTGGCCGCTTATCTTATGCGGCCCGATGGGGAGGGACGGACGGGGCGGACTACGGGGATCGGCTTCTTACACCGCCTTTCCTTTCAGCGAGCCCCCTCCAACCCACCCGCGCTAGGTGCCTAGGTCTCGGGGGACGCAGGGGTCACACCCGACGACCTCGGGAACTAGCCGGGGCAGTCGGAGAAGGGGCAACTCCGTGCACTGACGGTCGGCCGTCAGAAAACAGTCAAGCAGGATTCGAGCTGTTTGGGGGGAAGGGTATAGGGGTGGGGTGCCGGGTTTGGAGTAGGGGGGTAGGGGGTAAGGGGTCAGCGGCGAGGCCCGACGGAGGGTAGGGGGGTAGGGGGTGCCGGTGTGAGTTGCGTGTGGGCCGAACTGTGAATTACGTTACTGTTGAAGTCCGTCGCGGCCGAGCCCACCAACCGAGCACATCGCTCATCGGCGTCGGAGTTTATGCCGGGGTCGTTCGATCATCTCCACCAGTTGGAGGCCGATGGTTGCTGCCGCATTGTCTCGGCGGCCGACAAGCTCCAGCTCGTGCGCAGCTCGTGCAACGGCACCCTCGCATCGCGCATTGAGGAGCTCGACGTGGCGCTGGCGCCTCACGCGTTGTCCGCATGATGGAAGGCCGCGCACCGCCGCTTGCTGCTTTGCGCGGAGATGGGCAAGACGTGAGCAAGCTTTCGGCGCTCAAGAAGGTCGCCGTCGCGCTCATGGCCCGAAACCACATACCACAACGACCGACGGCTGATGTTACGATCGGCACAATCCCTACCCTTCCCCCCAAACAGCTCGAATCCAGAGAAGGGATCTGACCGGCCGCTGTACCCCCAAGCGATGGCGGAACGAGGCCTGAGCGAGAGGGACACGGCCACACTCCTCTCCTCCGAGATGGACTCGAGCTTTTCGGTTGCGGCACCGTCGCGCCGGCCCCTCAGCGCAATGATCCTCGCCGTGGGCATCATCGCCGCCGGAGGCGTCGCTGCCGCCTTCCGGCGCCAGGTCCCTGCGCGCGCCGTCGAGCCGGCCGATGAGAAGTTCGCGCCGGCCGAGGAGAAGTGGGCCGCGGGCCCGCTGCCGCGGCACTGGATCTTTGACGACCTCTCCGCAAGCGAGGTTCGCGCGGTGGCTGCATATGTCATCGCATCGCGGCCGGGCACGTCGGCTTCGTACTTTGGCGGCAAGCCGCTCAAGGGAGACTACATCACGGGCACGTCGGCCGTCGAGCTGGTCCAGCCGCCCAAGGCGGACGCGCTCGCGTACGTGAACGGCGAGACCGACACGCCGCCGAAGCGATTTGCGCGCGTCACCATCGCGCGCGGGCGCCGCCTCGCTCTCTCGGCCTTCGCGGGACAGAGGACGGCGTCTCTTCACGGGCGTGTGGGCGTGAACAGGTCGCTCGCCTCGCCCGACGTGATGGAGTACAGGGTCGGCCCGATCCACGGCTGCGACGCCGGAGACTGCGACGAAGCGACAGTCGAGGCGGCCGTCATCGCTCCCGGAAGTTTCCTCGAGCTCCGACTTGAGGCTCCCGCCGCGCTCCTCTAGGCTGGCTCGCCGCTCGTTCCCCTTCTCGAGCCCGGCGCGGTCTCGTTCGAAAAGCGACCGGTCGACATGTCGGACAACTCTTGTTTCGTCGGCATCGGCGCCGTGCTGGCGCCGCTCGAGAAGCTGTTGGTCGAAAGTTTCGGGCGCGTCTTTGGACTCGCCACCTTCGGCCTCTCTGCGGACGCCTACTCTGGCGGGGCGGACGGCTCCGTCCTCCCATTCTCCTTCAACGACATCTCCGCCACCGCGGCGGCGCGCGTGTACAAGCTGCAGTTCTTCTGGATCCGCGAGCCGGAGAATACGCAGGCGATGTGGCTGCACGGGCTGCCCTTCACGCTGCGCTCCGCGACCGTCGGTGAGCATGTACCGCGCGAGATGCAATCTCGGGCCGTCTCGGCTGATCTCAGCTGATCTCGGGGCATCAGGCGCGAACGAGCCGAGCTTCTACGACTTTTTCTATTGCGGCCAAGGCCCGTACCCAACGCCGGCCTCGCTGCTCGACGCGATCGCTGCTGGGAAGGCGCAGCGCTGCTCGTACAAGCCGCCCGCCTCGGACGGGCTCGCGGGCGGCTGGGACGTGCCCTCCTCGGAGGAGTCGGAAGACTACAAGTTTCTAGTGCCAGAGAGTCCGAGCGGCCCCCTCTTCGAGGAGCCTCGCTTCGCGCTGCGCGGCGTCAAGGGCGGCAACGGCCTCCTCCTCATGCGGGGGCGGGCGGTCCTTCTGCGAGCCTTCCGTGAGCCTTCCAGGAGCCTTCCCATAGGGCGGCTGATCGAGTGGGGCGAGTGGTCCTTCTTCGCCACGATGCGACCCTCCACGGGCCTCGCCGCGATGGACCTCCGCTTCCGCGGCGAGCGCGTCGCGTACGAGCTCTCGCTCGCTGAGGCGGCCGCGCTGTACTCTGGCACCGCAAACGACCAGGTCCGCGCCCCCGACCCACCGCCCTCGCCCCACCACCTCGAGTGTGTGGCGAAGCTTACCGGTTCGGTGCCGGTGCCGGTCCCTGTCCCTTGCCTCAGGTCTTCTACCTCGACTCGGCCTACTCGATGAGCCAGCTGGGCGGCGACCTCAAGCCCGGCCTCGACTGCCCCGTCGGCGCCGCCTTCCTCGACGGCACCCTCTGGAACTTGCCCGGCGGCGTCGGCGCGATCAACGCAAACGTCTCGCAGGCGAAGCCGTACAAGGCGTTTTGCGTCTTTGAGCAGCCGCTCGACGGGTCGCACTGGCGCCACCTTCAGCTCTTCGACAAGCGAGTCGACGGCGTGCCCGCCTCGCAGCTGGTGGTGCGCGCCGTCACCGCCGTTGGCAACTACGACTACGTCACGCAGTTCAGCTTCGGCCCCGCCGGCGGGGTCCGCGTCGGCTTCGAGTTTGCCGGCTACATGGAGACACGTTGGTTCTCGCCCGACACGACGCCGTTCGAGCGGCCGCTGGGCGAGGTGGTGCGTTCCAACCTGGCCGCGCCGCTGCACAGCCACTTTGGCTGCTTCAAGGTGGACCTTGACGCGTCGCCCGCGGGCGAGTCTTTTGAGCTCACCACAATCACTTCTGGTGTCAAGCAAGACAGTGGCGTGCCCAACCCGCACCGCTGGGCGACCAAGTACGTGGTGCGCGAGTACCCGTCGGTCGAGGGCGTCAACACCTCAACCTTCGCGCCGTCCGCCGCCAAGCCGACCGTGTGGGCGGTCGTCGACAACGCGCACGCCGCCGCCGCCACCGCGCCTAGCGGCAAGCCTGGCTACTCCATCTCGCTCGGCCCGACGGTGCTGCAGACGCTGCCCGCCGAGCACCCGTTCGTCAAGGCGACCGCCTTCTCAAAGTACCCGCTCGCGATCGCGCGCCGCAAGGAGGAGGAGCCGCGCCCGTCGAGCGTGTACGACTTGTTTGGGCCCGGCGAGCTCGCCACTCTCTCGACTCGTGTCATGTCCGGGACACGCCCTCGACATGTCGAGACCTGTTGTCCCATATAGGCGAGCCCGTCACATCCCTCGACTCTTTCCTCGACGGCGAGGGCATCGTGCAGAACGGGCCTCCCCGGAGCCTCCTCTCGGAACTTTCTCGGAACCGCACCCGTAGGCGAGGGCATCGTGCAGACGGACTTGGTGGCGTGGGTGACTCTTGGCAAGGAGCACTTGCCACGTACCGAGGACCTCCCCCTCATCTCCAATTTTGGGACCCACTTCGACTTGTTGCCGCACAACCGTTTCCCAGTCAACGCCGCCCTCTCGCGGCCGAAGCGGCAGCCGGCCGAGCGCAACTGAGCGCGCAGTCGGCAGGGGGGCGAGCCCTCCAGGGCCAGACCCCGCCGCCTTCCTTCTATATGCATCGTACACTTGCGTGTACAGTTCTGAGAGTTATTGCCAGTGTCCTGCAAGGGCCGGGTGTGGTGTCTGTGGAGTTGCTGTCTGCCGTGCCGGTCGCAGAGAGCCAAGGGAGAGGAAAGCGACCGATTGAGGTGTGTAGCCGGAAGTGACAAAAGTGTGTGTCCAGTGCGCAGTGTACTTTCACACCCACCCACCACACACACATACACACACTCACACACACACACACACCCTTGCCCCACCACCACGTGAGACGTGTGTGTGGAGAAGTTTACCTTACCTTGTACCTTACCTTACACAACACACACACACACACACACACACACACACACACACACACACACACACACACACACACACGGCACACGCACACATCGCTCAGCACCCACGTCCCACCCACCCCGCGCACTGGGCCTTGCACTTTTAATGCCGTGGGGCTCCTGTCGTCCAGACGTGGGGACGCGGGGGACGCTCCCCCGCTGCCACTCGTGCGTTCAACGACCGTTTCTCTCATCGTGGCGGGCACCGCCTGCCCCGCACCGCAACGCACACGACGCATGAAGAAATTGCGGGACGACGACGACTGGCCGAGCACCCCGCCAACCCTCAGAGTTCAGGCGCACCGCATGTTTGAGCTGGGCCGCTCGGCAGAGATCGGCTCGCCACGTGCCGCTGGCGTCGACAGCCGGCGGCTGTCGCAGACGCACGAGTACTTTGAGGTGAGGGGACGCCCCTTTGTGGCGCCTCCTTATCAGTGCGCCGCGTCGAGCAGCCGCCCCTTCATCGTGGGCTCACGGAGGCACACGCCCAGCCGCCGAACAGCCAGCGCGTACGCTGATCAGATTTGCGCGGCGCGCTTCCGGCACAAGATGCTCGCGTCAGCTCTCGCCTCGCACAGGCTAATGTCCTCAGTCTCGAGCGGCTCCGTAAGCAATGGCTCCAGCCCGCGCTACGCCCGCACGGGAGGCGGCGGCCTCGTACTGCAGGCAACGCTCCGCGAGCAGGAGGAGCGACTCCGCGCCGCAGCCCGAGAGATTGTTATGGCCGACTTGCTCGGGGCCTTTCGCTCCTGGGCCGCCCAAGCTTCCCTGCGCCGCCTGCTCCGCTTGCACGGTGCGCAGCGCTCCGCTCGCTCGCCGACTCGCCGCGGTAGACTGCGGGCCAGCTTCCGTCGGTGGCGGGCGAAGTGCCATCGGGCCAGGGCTCCTTTGCTGCTGTGGCTCCTCTGCAGGCGCTGGCGCGCCGAAGCTGGCCGCCGGGCAACCCTCAGCCGGGCCCTTCCGCTCGCCACCGCGGCGCAGAAGCGGCGCGGATTTGCGACGTGGGTGCAAGCGTGGAGATACCGCCTCACCGAGGAGCGCCAGGCGTCGCTGGGCGTCCGGTGCGGGGAACGCCGCCGCCTGCTGCTCGCATTAGCCTTGTGGCGGGCTGCGAGCATGGCGCACGAGAGATCGCTCGAGCGGTCTGTCCTCGCGAGCTTCAAGTGGGGTGCCTCTTGCCGGGCACTCGCCCTCCGGCAGTGGGTGGAGGTAGCCCGCACTTGCCGCACCGTCCTCGCAAGCGGCACCGCGCTGGCACGCCAGCACAGCCAGTGTCGCGCTTGGCGCAAGTGGTTGCGCTGCATTGCGAGCGACGAGGCGGCGCACCGTCTCCTCGCGATCGCCGCATCCTCCCAGTCGAGTCGCGCGCTGAGGCAGAGCGTCCGCCGCTGGGGCGCGTTCCTCATTCGTGCGAGTCAGCTCGCCGAGGCGCTAAACTCGTGGCGTTCCTGGAGGGACCGAGCGCGAGCGTTGCGGAGCTGCGTACCGCAACACACCTGCAACGTGCTCTGGCACAGCTCTCTCACTCGGGACCAGCTGCGTTCCCTCCGCCGCGGCCTCTCCAAGTGGGCCGTTGTGAGCGCCGCACGGCATGGCTGTGCGACAGGCCTCTTCTGGCTTGGCGCTCGCCGTCTGCGCCGAGGCTTCAATAGCATTCAGGCGACGCGGCGCGAGGCGTTTGACAATAATTGTGCACGGGCCAAGGCACGCGCTTGGCGAAGATGGTCATGCGGCATCAGACGCTCGCAAGCACGTGCCTCTCTTTGCCGCGTGGCTCTTGGCTACGCTAGCGTGCGGGTCCGCCGTGGTGCGTTCTCTTCGTGGCACCGCATGCTATGCCGCAGCGCTGCGGTGGAGGGGCTTGAGCAGATCGGCCTCGCTCGCCATGCAAAAACCCGGCTGCACCGCGCAATGGCCCATTGGAGGTGGTGGCGGGAGCGGGAACAGGACGTTGCTCTTGTTGGCCTCAGCCGGCGCCGGCGAGAGCTGAGGGGCAGCCTTTTGGCATGGTGGCACAGGGCCGCGGCTAGCAGCAAGTTGAGCTCCGTCTCGAGTCGCAACCTCGACGCCTGCATGGGAAGGCGGCTCGACCTCGCTTTCAGGTGCTGGAAGGCGGAGGGCAGGCTTGCTCGCACTGCGCAAAGGCACGCACGCCGCGAGTTGTCACCACTCAAACTTGCCAGGAGAGTGAGTGCTCTAACTGCGGAGGAGGAGGAGGAAGAGGCGCGCGAGCAGCGTGGTCACAGCCATCACGAAAGAAGCATCGCTGGCATCGCGGTTCTGCAATGGAAGCTTGAGGCAGCCAAGCGTGGCCAAAGGCAGCAAGGCATGCGGTGTGGCGTTGCCTCATGGAGCAGACGGTGGCGATGGCATGCGCTTGAGAGGTGGATGATGTTCGTGTACCGACAGCGACGCAAGCGAGGGTTGGCCGCGTCAGCAGCGCAGAGCTTGCTGCACCGGTGCTTGCGCCGAGCGATGGCCACGCTGCGCGAGGCGCACGCGGAGGCGGCGGAGGCGCGGCGGCTGCGTGGCGTCGCTGCGGCGGCGGCAGCGCGGATGATCGGGCACCGCATGGGTCGCGCTGTGGCGTCGCTCAAGGCGGCACGTGTCGAGGCGCACCGCAGGCGCGCAGTCGCCGCATCGGCGGTAGTGCAGATGCTCCACCGCGGGCTCGGCAAGGCGTTGCGCGCTCTCCGCGACTCGGGCATCGAGCGGGGACGCAAGCTCGCGCTAGCAGAGTCTGCAGCATCGCACCTGCTCTACCGCCAGCTGAGCCGGGCCTTGTGCGCTTGGCGAGCGGCGGTGAACGACCACGAGTCGCGGGTCGAGCGATTCGCGGCGAGGCTGGCGATGGGGCGGGGGCTCTACGCGTTTGCCGAGGCAGCTCGTGCGAGTGGGAGGGTGCGTCGCGCGCTCTCGCGGATGCGGCAGCGCTCTCTGTGCGGGGCCTTGCTCTCGCTGCAGGAGAGCGCGTCGGAGGCGCGTCGCAAGCGCGGCGTCGCCTCGGCGGCGGTGGCTCGCTTGGTGTGCCGCAGCCAGGCCACCGCCTTCTCGACGCTGAAGGCGCATCTCGGCGAGACGCGACGCAAGCGAGGGTTGGCCGCGTCAGCAGCGCAGAGCTTGCTGCACCGCTGCTTGCGCCGAGCGATGGCCACGCTGCGCGAGGCGCACGCGGAGGCGGCGGAGGCGCGGCGGCTGCGTGGCGTCGCTGCGGCGGCGGCAGCGCGGATGATCGGGCACCGCATGGGTCGCGCTGTGGCGTCGCTCAAGGCGGCACGTGTCGAGGCGCACCGCAGACGAATGATATCCACTTCCGCCACCTCGTTTTCGCTCCACCGCGGTCTTGCCTTTGGCCTCTGCCACCTCAAGGAGAACCGCTTGGCCGCCAGGCGTGCTTGCGCTGCGGCACATGCCGCGAGCGCCCGGATCGCTCGCCCGCGCTTATCCAACGCGCTTCGGCTATGGCGTGGCCAAGTGCGTGGGCACCAGCGACGCCTCATTGTTGCTCGCGTCGCAGCCTTGAAACGCCGGCGCGGAGATTTGCGCAACGCGCTGTACCGCTGGCAGCTTGCAGGAGCACGCCACTTACTTCTTGGCGCCGCACTGGAAAAGGCAGACGTGCGTCGCCGGCATTCGGAGCTGGTGCGAGGCTTTCTCGCAATCTTTACTTGCGCCCCTGGCCCACCCCGGATGCACCGCTTGTCGGCCACCGCCCAGCGCTGGCTTGATGAAGTGCGGCAGGCTGTCAAGGACCCAGCAACGCGCCCGGCCAAGGAGCATCTGTCCCAGGCTTTGGATTCCCGCCTCGACTACCTCTACTCCCTGAGCCGTTCGTCACTGCGCGAGCGGTCACCCAGCACGCCAAGGCGACGGGGCCACAAGGGCGAGGCGGCGCGCAGCGGCCGCTCCTCGTGCAGCAAACATCGGCCGCAGCTCGCACCACACCGCGTGCCTCCTCTGACGGTGGGCGCCCTCCTCGACGAGATGCAGCGGTTTCTAGACGTGCGCAAGTGGACCGTCAAGGAGCTGTTCCGCAACCGTTCGGTCAACCTGTCGAACCGGGCGGCAGGCGACTTCGCCCTCTCCGCGGCCGAGCTATGTGCCTTCCTCTCCTCGCCCGAAGTCGGCCTCCGACTCTCGCCGAGCGACGCGAGGGCGCTCATTGCCGATATCGACACGAGCGGCAACGGCGAGTTGGAGGCGTCAGAGCTCGACAAGGCTCTCCGCGCCCGCAAGGCGCAGCGAAACCGCGAGGAGGGGGGCGGGTCGGCCCTCCCGGAGAGGCACTACGACTACTTCCGCGGCGCGGTGTGGCTTCAACCCATGCTATGAGGGAGCGAACAAGTCTATATAATTAAGTATATATCAAATGTGAGAGAGTGAAAAATAGTGAAGCGGCGCAGGACGCAGCTTTCCAGCGCTAGAGCCGTATACGTGAGCTACACAGCGCGCCAAATCGCAGAAACGCGCTCTCCCTAACCCTCTCCCAACTTGAGGTACACCTGCCGCAACCGCTGCAGCGCTTCGGCAAGCCCTATCCGCCGTGGCCCGTCCCCGCCGCCGAGCAAGACGTGAACGACTGCAGCGGGCACCTCCGCCTCCCACACCGCCGCCAACTGACGCAACGCCGCGCGACCATCCGCAATTCGCACTGCAGGCAGCTCGGCGGCATCAATTCCGTCGCCCGCCGCCGCGCCCTCCGACGCACGCTCCGTCCCCTCCTCCTCGCTCAACATGGAGAGCGCCTCGTCGACGCATGCCACGCAACCGCGCGCGCACAGAGCCCCCTCCCCCACCTCCTCCGCCGCCCGCGCCAGCGCCGCGCCGCGCGCTCCGCCGCGCCGCAACACGCGCCGCACGTGCGCGCTTGCCGCCGCCAAATCGCGTGCCGCGAGAGCCGCGAGACACGCGTCCTCTCCGCCGCCCTCTCCGCCGCCGACCCCACACTCCGCGCCCTGCCTTGGCCCGGATCTCGGCGGCGAAGCGCCCGGCGGCGGTGGCGAAGGCGGGCGGCGGAAGAGCTGCGCCGCGGCGGCGCACCGGCTGCAGAGGAGGGCGCCTATGGGCCATGTCGCAGACACGTCGCGGACATGTCGCGGACATGTCGTCGACCCGCCAGCGGCTGTGGATCGCGCCGTGAGAGTCGCGTGCCGCGCCAAGGGAAAGGTCCGCGAAAAGCGCGCACGCGCTGCAGCGCAGTGCCTCCCCGCCGCCCTGGAGCAAGCGGGTCGCACAGCAGATCAGACGCGAGAGAACAGCGCGAGGCGGCGGGAGCCGGGTGGTGCGACGATGGGGCGGGCCACGACAGTGACGTGTGCTGTGCGGCAGCGCCGCCCGCCCCAACCCCGGCCGCGTGCCCCGTGTGCATCGCGCTCCCGTAAGGGTGACGTGGGCGCGTCCTTCTTCCAGTCCCTGGAGTGTCTCGGAAGGGTCATCGCATTGCAGGCCGCCTGGAGCGTCCCCGTCGGAAGTGTCTCGGAAGTGTCTCTGGACGTGTCCGACGCGCCTCGGTCGGCGCGGCGCTGCGGCCCGGCTCGATGAAGCGACGAAACGCGGGCGCCACCTGGGCGAGATGTGGGGGAGGGGGTGAGCCTCCACGCCCTGGTTGGCGACCGCGGTCGTGGCTGCGGACGCGCTGTGCGCGGCGGCAGTGGAGGTGGCGGTGTGCGGCAGCGGGCTGGAGCCGGCCCCTTGAGCCGTCGGGTGAGCGGTGCTGCGTGTGCGGTGCGAGCGGGGCAGGTGCGCGCGACCTGAGCGGAGGGAGAGGAGGAGGCCGCGGCGAGCGACCAGAGCGGACGGCGCGGTGGCGAACGCTGCGGAGAGCGAGCTGGCGGCTGCGGCTGCGGCGATGGCGGCCGCGGCGCTGGCTGCGGCGCTGGCTGCGGCGCTGGCTGCGGCGCTGGCTGCGGCGCTGGCTGCGGCGGTGGCGGCGGCGGCGGCGGCCGCTGAAGCGGCGTGCGTTGCGGCGGCTGCTGTGGAGGTGGCGGGTGCGGCGGGTGCGGCGGCGGCGACTGCGGCGGCGACTGCGGCGGCGCTGTGGGCGGCGGCAGCTCCGGTGGCGGCAGCGCCGGTGGCGGAGCGACCGCCATGTCTGCCTGCAGAGAGGCCAGGATGCATTCGCACTCGGCGGTGTGGGTGGCCCGCTCGGCTGGGCTCATTCCCGTCAGGTCCTCGCCGCAGAGGAGGCAGCGGTCGGCGGCGCTGCCGGGCGAGCAGCCCGGCTCGGTCGCATCTGGGGAGTGGAGGAGCGCTGGGCCAGCAGCGGCCTCGGGCGTGGAGCAGGCCGCAGCGGGCGAGCGGGCGCCGTCGGCGGAGCCCGTCGGCTGTGCGTCCGGCTCGGCGGCCGCAGGTGGCTCCGCAGTGGCGGCTGCCCCGGCGTTGACGGCAGACTCAGCCTCGGTGGCGGCCGATTCGGCCGGATGCGGCCGCGGGAGAGAGGGAGCACCGCCGACTTTGGCGCTCGACCGCGAGAGCCGGAGCCGTTTGCGACCTGGCCGGCTCGGAAGCATGGTTGCGTCGCCGTTCCGCTTCTTTCTTCTTTTCGCCGCTGTTTTTACACAGGTTCACCGCGGGCCCCCACCGACGAAGGGCGCTTGGGTCTAAATTTAGTGCGGTCTGAAGTCTTTATCTACTGCATCTTTAGTGCACTTTAGCGCGAATTTAGCGCAACTTTAGCGCGAGTTCACTGCGACTTTACATACATCCAGATTTAGCGAGGTTTAGTGCGTCTTTAGTCCAGCCGCGCAGTAGGATCCAGCCGCAGCCCCTCGCTGGGCCTCCCTCCCGTTAGGCTGAACAAGCTTTTCCTCTCGCACCCCGTCTCTTTTCCTTTCCTTTTTTCTCTACAGCACCCTCTCTTTTGGATTTCAGATTACCCGGTTTTTGAGATTCGCCTCGCAGATTACCCGACGAACGAGATTTTCCTGCTTAGCGCGATTTCCGTCAAACCAGTTTACCCAGTCTCCCACAATTCGTGTTTCAGCTTACCCGGTCGCTAAAATTTGTCATGTCAGATTACCCGGTCGGCCAAATTTCTCGTCCAGATTACCCGGCAACGATATTTTCCTGCTCAGCAGCAATTTCATCAAAAAACTGAGAACCAGTTTACCCAGTTTCCCACAATTCACGTTTCAGCTTCCCCGGCCGCTAACTTTTCTCATGTCAGATTACCCGGTCGGCCAAATTTCTCGTCCAGATTACCCGGCGGCTAACTTTTCTCTTTGAGATTACCCGGGCGCGCAAATTTCTCGTTTCAGCTTACCCGGACGCGAGCGTGCACCTCGTCCAGAGAGCGAGCACCTGCGGCACTTGGTCCTAAGGGGTCCCGTACCATGCGGAATCGACCCTACCTATCCGGTGCTCAAGTGCTCAAGGAGAGCTCCCACTCGGAATCCCCGGCCTCGTTTGCTTGAATGACGCAGTCGTGAATCCCAAACGGTTTCAGATTACCCGGCGCATCCCACTACCGGGTGATCTGGAAAAAGAAATTTCACCTTCCGTGTAACCTGGAAACGACATTTCGCCGTGTTGGGTAATCTGGAAACGACATTTTGCCGCACCGGGTGATCTGAAACCGCTCACGCCGGGTGATCTGGAAAACGCCGGGTGATCTGCGAGGCGAAGCTCAAAACCGGGTGATCTGGAAAAAGAAATTTCGTGACCCGGGTAACCTGGAAACGACATTTCGCCGTGTTCGCCGAATTCCCATGAAAACAAGTAAAAAATCGCGCGAAAAAGAAAAAATGCCAAAAAATCGGTCTGGATCCGTCATCCTTTGGTTCAACATTGGTTTTCAAATTCCAAGACCGACCCTCACCTCTACTCTATTACAGCTGGTGGTCACGGTCACAGCATGGGTTGTGCGGTCGGAGGTGGTGCTTGCGGTGGCGCATTCAACTGTGCTGGTCCTCCTCTCGGGAATCGGATCTGATTTTTAGCAATACCAAACAACTCTAACACTCACTCGACATTTGGGGCCTGGAGCCCTGTTCACGCGCGCGCGAGACGTGCAGACAGGGTTGCCAGGTGAGAGCGAATGGCGCGGTTCACGCCTCGCACAACAGAGAGAGAGATGCGCTCTGCATGGTGGGACATAAAAGAAAGCGAGTACTTTGCGCGCGAGGCGGCGCAGCTTGAGAACGGCGGTGGGCGAGCCGCCGCCGAACGTCTCGTGGAGCAGCAGGTTGAAGTTGTTGCGCTTGACAAAGATCGCGTCGTGGTAGAAACCGCGATGCGCCTTGACGTAGCCGTGGCCGTTCTTGTGGTCGAAGGGTTGGCCGGGCTGCCCGCGCGCCTTGCAGCCCATGTTTAGGCGGCGGGCCTTCTCCTCGGTGTTGCCGAAGGCGTAGGAGTGGCCAACGGAGGCGGGCGTGCCGCCGCTCGAGGCGTTGCCAACGCCCGCCGAGGAGGTCTTGAGGAGGGGCGTCCAGTGGAATCGGTGCTGTGCCTGTGCTCAGTCGGGAGATCTTGCTCTGGAGGGCTGCATATCTAGCCTCACTGGGAGCCTGCCTTTGCGTCATGAGGGCAGGCAGGGGCCAGGCATCTCTTGTGGTGCATTCTTGGCAGCCAAGGAGCAAAGCACGCACGCGGCCCTGGCTAGCTGTGGTGTGGCCGGGAAGCCGTGCTAAAGATGCGTTCCCGCACTAAAGATGCGGGACCCACACTAAATGTACTGCAGCTGCCCGCACCTAAAGTGAACTAAATGTGGCGCTAAATTGGAGATAAAACACACTAACTAAATTTGTGCTAAATAAATACAGTTCCGGACGGGCATTAAGAACGCACAGGTTCTTCGCCCAGCCTCAGGTTCTTAGCTAAGTTGGCGGTCCGTCGGGGGCCGAGCCTCAGGTTCTTAACCGGGTGGATGGTTTTTAAAACCGTTTCGGCTTCGATTAAAAATCAACAAAATTGGGTGTTAAAACAGTTTGGAAGTTTGGAACAGTAAGTTCGCATGGCGTGACAAGAGAGTCATATGTTGGACTGTTGCGCGCTCGCGCGTCGTTTCGTTGTTTGTGTGAACCTTGTATGTGTGTTGCATGGGATGCCGCGCTCGCGAGTCTCGGTCACATCGATGGTTGTAGTATAGAACCCAGCATCGCCCAGCCTCAGGTTCTTAGGGAGTTCTTAGGGATCCGGCCGAAATATCAGCCTCAGGTTCTTAACGTTAGAGGTTCTTAATGCCCGTCCGGAACTGTATGTGCTAAATATGTGCTAAATATGTGCTAAATATGTGCTAAATATGTGCTAAATTCGCTCTAAAGACGCACTACACACCACTCGAACACACACTAAATAGCGCACTAAACTATTTTAATAAAGTTCATTCACAGCCTTGTTATTGAGAAGAAAATACCTCCTATGGCGCTGTGCGCTGGCCTGTGAGAGGTTGAGGTGCGAGCCCTGGAGGCCCTGGGGATGGGGGGGGACTACCCGCGGGCTTAGAAGGCCCGCGCGCAGGGGGGTGGGGCATTGAGACCGGTCATGAATGAGTGCGCGACACGCATGTTGCGAGCAGCGTTGTTGATGTTTTGCGCATCGCCACTGACGGCGGCGCGCGAGAGCTGTTGCGAGTGGTGTTGGGCGAAGCCCCGGGCGCTGCCGGAGGCTGTGCCGTAGTCGGTGCGGTCGACGGCGCTCGGGCTGCCGACCTCTTTGGCGAAGTTGAAGATGATTCTCTTGGTTGGCGGCGCGATGCCGCCCTGTGGCTTTCGACGAGACAAATTTTGACGATTCCGTTCTTGACATGGAGCGCGTCGTAGTACTGTCCCTTGTGCTCTTTGACCCAGCCTTTGCCGGTCGCATGGACGAGCGGGCCCTGTGACTTGTGGCCGCGCTCTTTGCACCCAAGAATTCACACGCAAAAAATTTAGAAAGTGTCCTTCACCGACGTCAGCAAGGTTGCCGACACGCCCCGTCGCACGCGGCAGATGCTCGGCTAGGCCCGACGTCCAATTTTCCTCACCCACTACCTACTGCCTGTAGGCTGCGCGGCGTCGCCGAGCAAAAACGACAACGACGCTCTTCCTCTTTGTGCTGGCCACCCCGCCTCCACCGCAGCCTGCGGCGGAGGCGGTGACGGCGGTTTTGGCGGCCTCCGCGCGCGCCTCCTCGGCAGCCACGTCCACGCTGCCCGGGTCGCCGCCGCCGGTCCCCACCTCTCCGCTCACACCGCCGCCGCCGGGCCCTCCTCCGGCGGGCCCTCCGAACCCGCCGCCAATCCTACCGCCGTCACCGCCTGCTCCGCCACGCGCGCCGCCGCCGCCGCCATCGCCGTTGCCGCCCTCGCTGCCGCCGCTGCCGCCGCCCGCGCCGCCGCCGCCGCCGCCGCCGCCGCCCGTGGAAGCAAAGGTGTGGGGATCGCTGGTGGACACGACGGCGGAGTCGATCGCTGCGACCTCGCACACGCTCTACATCCGGCTTCTCAACGGCTCCGTCTGGGACCCGCTCGTCGTCGAGTCCTCTCAGCTCCCTCACGTCGCGCTGCGCCAGTCGATTGCAAACGCCGCCTCGCCGACGCCGCCGCCGCCGCAGTCGCCAGACGCGGGCGGCGGCGGCGGCGGCGACGCGGGGGCGCCGCCGCCGCCGCTATCGCTGTGGGGCGACCAGTGGGGCGCCGATGACGGCATCTTCCTCAAGGTCCAGCTGCTCGACTCCAACCTGAGCGCGGTGAGCGCGCCTAGACGCTGACTACAGATCCCTGCATGCCACCCGGCACCCGAGAAGCGCACGTGTCCCTTCACCTGGTGCCACACTGCACGATGCCGTCTTCCCGCCCCGACGCTGGTGCGAGCATGGCGCAGGTCGCCGACCCGGCCGCGACGTGTGACCCGCACCATGGCGGCGGTGCGCCGCGGCTCGCCCCTCGCCAGTCTCGCCGCCTCCTCCCTGCACGCGCGACGCACACGCGACACGCTGTCGGCACCCCTCCTCCCTGCCCCCCCCCCCTGCCCCGACACCCCTGCCCCTGTGCAGCCGCCCGCACACCCCCGCGCGCGCGCCAGGCTGCGCCGTCGTGCGCGTCGTGATCCCGCAGCTGCAGCGCTACTACCTCACCCCGGGCGCGCAGGAGGTGCTCCGCCTCCGAGTGGACGGCACGCACCGCCTTTGCGGACGCGTCCACCCAGGAGGAGCCTTCCCGGAGCCTTCCCGGAGCCCTCTCGGAGCCTTCCTGCAGGCCGGTGCGTCTTTGCGGACTCCACCACCGAGCGGGGCGCGGGCCCGGAGGCGGTCGCGACGACAGAGGTCGTCATCCACGGGTGAGACGTCTCCCGACGCTTCCTCACGAGTCCCCTCCCCCAGACCTTCCGATGCCCCACCGCCCCCCACCGACACTCTCCGAGGCGGTCTCCGACACAGCCTCCAGCGAGATGCGTGCCCGTGCCGCGAGATGCGTGCAAGACACGTCCATGACACGGCAGCGTGGCCATGTCCGCCAGGCGAGACATGGGGGAGATATGGCCGGGCTCATGTCCGCCAGGCGAGATATGGGGGAGATATGGCCGGGCTCATGTCCGCCAGGCGAGATATGGGGGAGATATGGCCGGTTCACGGCCGAGCCATGGCCGAGCTGTGCCGTGCATGTCCCGCCAGGCGGTACCCGTGCAGCGAGGAGACGAGCTGCCAGCGCTGCACCAACGAGGCGAGCCGCCGCTGCGCTTCTGAACCCCGAGTCGTTCACGTTCTGTTGACTCTGCATTGAATGCGACTGCCAGCCCTCTCCTGAGATCGCACATACCGCCTCGTGTGTCTGCCCCGCGTGTGCTCCGCGTGTGCGTGTGCCGCGTCGCCCGTGCTGGGACGTGTGTGTACGACTGACTGACTGACAGAGTCATTCATGTCGTGGGTGTTGTGTGCGGGATATGGGGGAGATATGGGCGAGATATGGGCGAGATATGGGGGAGGTATGGTGTTGTGTGCGGGAAGCGTTTGGGGAGGGAGGGAGTGGGGAGCAGGGTCTGCTCACTCACGTGCACTGGGCCTCGCACATTGAACGCCGTGCCAGCTCCTGCCTGTCCGGGTGTGGGCCAAGTTCACACACACACCTTCCCTGGTCAGGCGGGCCGGCACGCAGGCGACGGAGAGTCGGCTAACCAGTGCGGCTGGTGCGCCGCCAACAGCAGGTGCTTCGCGCAGCCCGACCATGGCTTCGGTTCGGGCGTGTGCCCGGGCTTGGTTTCGACGCGCACCAACCAGTGCGGAGAGTAGCCGCGATCCGCCCGCGATGCCTGCCGCGAGTAGCCGCGGCTCGTCCCGCAAATGGCGACGAGCACCAACGAGTGCGGCGGGCTAGGGAAGGGCGGGGGTGGGGATGGTGGTGGCGGGCCGGGGGGTGGGGGCGACGGCGGCGAGGGGGGTGGGGGGGAAGGTGGCGGGGGCGAGGGCGGAGGAGGCAGAGGCGGGCTCGTTGCACGGGTACCGCGGCACGTCCACGACGCGTCCGCGGTCGGTTGCTTTGCAGGTGCGGCGGCGCTTCGGACCCGACGACGGCGTCAGCGCGCAACTTGCGGCGCGTGGGCGTGGGGGTGCACGTGCTGAACGTCGGCGACGTCGATCTCAAGGCAGCGCGAGATGACGCGAGATGACGCGAGATGACGCGAGATGACACGAGATGACACGAGATGACACGAGATGACGCGATATGACACGAGATGACGCGTGATGACACGAGATGACACGAGATGACACGAGATGACGCGAGATGACGCGAGATGACACGAGATGACACGAGATGACACGAGATGACGCGAGATGACGCGAGATGACACGACGCCGCCCTCAAAAGGCGGCGCGCTTTTACGCGGACGTGCAGATCTACCTGCACGTCGAGCTAAACAAGGACGGCACCGACCGGCTCTACGCGGCGCAGGCGCCGTACACCGCCGACCGACTGCGCGAGGTGTGAGCAGCGCCTCTTCACAGCTGTAGCCGTGAAAAGGCACCGTACGACGACGGCCTCTCCGAGTGCAACGGAATGCAGCACTACCGCATGCGCGTCGCCGCCGCCGCCCTCGCCACCACCACCCTCGCCGCCGCCGCCCTCCTCGCCGCCGCCCCCGCCTCCCGCTCCAGTCCCGCCGCCGCCCTCGCCGCCGCCGCCCTCGCCGCCACCGCCGGACGATCTCCGTAGGTACAAGCCGGACGAGGATGACCTCAAGCGCTCGGATAAGGGCCTCTTTATGGTCAACATCGACCGGTACCGTTCGGTCGAGATGGTGGAGGCGACGCACGCACACACACACCCCGGCACCCCGGGCCTTGCACGTTGAATGCCGTTGGGCCGCGTCTATCTAGATGTGGAGTCGCGAGGGCTGCCTGGCCCTTGCCCCACCACCTTGTGTGTGTGGAGAAGTTTACCTGGCCTTGCCGTAGGTGAACGGCACGCTCCACCACTACCGCGTCCAGTCCAACTTTTACTTTCGGACGAACGTGCGCGACTGGCCGCTGCAGACGGAGCGGCTCGAGCTGCTGATGGAGATGTACGAGGAGACCTTCAAGAGCAGCCCGACGATGTTCTTTTGCATCATGCCCGAGTTGTCGGGCCTCTCGCAGTCCGTCCGATTCCCCGGCTCGCTCGACAACCAGGCGAGCCTTCCGGGAAAGCTGCACCGCCGCGCCCGCGCTGCACACGTGCAACACGGCCGCCGGAGCGCCTGGCTAGTGGCGCCTTCCCAGCCGCCCTCAGCTGTCCCTCTTCTGCCTGCAAGCGATGCCCCCTCCCTCCCCCCACCCCGGCCGGCCAAGTGTCTCCCTACAGCCATTGATTTGCCCCCCCAACCCCCCCCCCCCCCCCACAACAGCGCCTCTCCTACGAGACGCACATCAACCAGACTTGCTCCCCGCCCTTCCTGCGGCCGGTGCGCCAGTGCGCCGTCGAAGACGACGAGGGCACCCCCGCCGAGGAGGGCGGCGGCGCGGCGACCGCGCGCGGGCGCGCACTGACTGCGGCCGGCGGCGGCGGCATGTGCGGCGCGGGAGACGGCGAGGGCTACGACGAGGGGTACGCGCCCCCGTTTGACGACGGCCTCACCGAATGCGGGCGGCGCGCGCTGGCCGAGTCGAAATGATGAAGGGACGTCTCGGGAAAGATCGGGCGATCTTGGGCAATCTCCCGCAGGCGCGCGCTGGCCGAGTCTCACAACGGCATCTTCGACCACGAGTGCCGCTGTGAGGTGGTGTCGGACTACACGCCCGGCTCCGACCGTGAGTCGTGCGGCTGCCAGGGCGGGCGGATCACGTCGTCGCGCCTCTCGTTTGCGATCCTGTACGAGACGCCCGCCGCCGGCGCCGTGATCAGCGTCTACATGGCGCCCGCCTTCATCATGGTGATCGCCCTCGTCACGTACTCGATCCCGCCAAAGGCGGTGGAGACGCGCTTCTCGCTCGCAAACTCGGGGCTCGTGTCGCTCGTCCTCTTCCACTCGGGCCTAGTCGGCCCCTCCGCCGCACCGGCCCCACCCTCTCTCCCTAGACCCGTCCCCACATCTCCCCATAGGCCTCAAGTCGACCCTCCCCGTCACCGGCATCCTCACCAAAGCGGACTACCTGATGATCGCCTGCTACCTCGCCCTCTCCTCCTCCTTCGTCATCACCGCCCTCATTCTCTCGCTGCGCTTCAACGAGTGCGCGTGCCCGCGTCCCAGCCTCGTCCTCTGGTCGACAACTCTCGCTTTCGGCCGACCCTCGGCTCTCTTCCTCTCGCACCTGCGACACTGTGGGGGGTGCCATGGTTTGTGCGTGTGTGCGTGTGTGGGACAACTACCCGACCGAAGACGCCAACCGCCGAATCTTCTCGCAGGTACCCGCGCACGGCGCACGCCGTCTTCATCTGGAGCCGCATTCTCGGCCCTTTCCTCACGATCCTCTTCTTCCTCGGCGCCGACCTCGCCCGATACTACGACGACGCGAAACCCCTCCATCGGGAGCAACGCATTGCCCGCATCGATAATCGCGCCGAACTGGGCAGGGTCGAGCGCATTCATCTTGTCGC